ACATCTCTCACTTTAATCAAAAGCTAGAAATCATTAAGCTTAGCAAGAAAGGCATGTTAAAATCTGAGACAGGTTGACAGCTAGGCATCTTGAGCAAGCAGTCAACCAAGTTGTGAATGCAAAGAAAAGGTTCTTGAAAGAAATTAAAAGTGCTACCTCCAGGTGTGGTGGCATGTGCTTGCAGTCCCAGCTACTTGGGAGGCTGAGGCAGGAGGATTGCTTGAGTCCAGGAGTTTGAGGGTGTGTTGAGCCAAGATCATGCCACTGCTCCAGCTTGGGTGAGAGTGAAATTTTGTCTCAAAAAAAGGCCAAGCATGGTGGTTCACACCTGTATCCAGCACTTTAGGAGGCTGAGGCAGGAGGAATACTTGAGCCCAGGAGTTCAATACTAGTCTGGGCAACACAGCAAGACACTGTTTCTACAAAAGATAAAAAAATTAGCCATGCGTGTTGTTGCGTGCCTAAAGTCCCAACTACTTGGGACACTGAGGCAGAAGGATTGCCTGAGCCCAGACAGCTGAGGCTGCAATGAGACATAATTGCACCATTGCACTCCAGCCTGGATGACAGAGTAAGATTCTGATCAAAATAAAATAAAATATGGCCAAGCATGGTGGCTCACGCCTTTGGGAAGTGGAGGTGAGAGGATAGCTGGGCATGGTGGTACACGCCTGTAGTTCCAGCTACTTGGAAGGATGAGGCAGAAAAATGGCCTGAGCCCAGGAGGTCGAGGCTGTGGTAGTTGTGAGCATGCCATGGCACTCCAGCCTGGATGACAGAGACTCTAACTCAAAATAATAATAATAATAAATAAAAATAAGATAAAATAACAATAATAAAAATAAAAAATAAAAGTGCTACTCCAGGGAACATATGGATGATTAGAAATTGAAACACCCTTATTGCTGATATGGAGAAAATTTTAGTGGTGTGGATAGAAGATGAAACCAGACACCACATTTCCTTAAGCCAAAACCTAATCCAGAGCAAAGCCCTAACTCTCTTCAATTCTACAAAGACTGAGAGAAGTGAGGAAGCTGCAGAAGAAAAGTTAGAAGCTAACAGAGGTAGGGTCATGAAGTTCAAAGAAAACGCCTTCTCCATAACATGTAAGTACAAGGAGAAGCTGCAGCCAGTTATCCAGGAACTCTAGTTAAGATAATTGATGAAGATTACACTAAACAACAGATTTTTTTTTTTTTTTTGGAGTCAGAGTCCTACTGTCACCCAGGCTGGAGTGCAGTGGCACGCTCAGAGCCACCGCAGCCTTGACCTCTGGGCTCAGGCGATTCTTCTGCCTCAGCCTTTCAAGTAGCTGGAACCACAGCGCACGCTGCTACTCCCAGCTAATTTTTTGATTTATTGTAGAGACGAGGTCTCACCAAGTTGCCCGGGCTAGTCTTGAACCCCTGGGCTCAGGTAATCCTCTTGCCTCAGCCTCCCAAAGTGCTGGGATTACAGGCGTGAGCCACCACACCCGCCTGGGCAACTTGGCGAGACCTCATCTCTCCAATAAATCAAAAATCAGCCGGGCGTGGTAGCACGCGCCTGTAATTCTGGCTACTGGGAAGGCTGAGGAGGAAGGATCGCCAGAGCCCAGCAGGTCGAGGCTGCGGTGGCCAGGAGCGGCCACTGCACTCCAGTCTGGGCGACAGAGTGAGACTCCAACTCAAAAAAAAAAAAAAAGCCAGGTATGGGAGCACATGCCTATAGTCTCAGCTACTCAGAAGGCTGAAGCAGAAAGATCACCTAAGCCCAGGGGGTTGAGGCTGCGGTGAGCCATGATTGTGCCACTGAACTCCAGCCTGGGTGACAGAGTAAGACCCTGACAAAACAAAACAAAATGAACACTCACACTTCATGGGACAAGGTTAAAAATATCAACATTAACAGGAGTTTGGGAGAAGTTGATTCCAACCCTCATGGATGAGTTTGAGAGGTCCAAGACTTCAGTGGAGAAAGTCACTGCAGATGTTGTAGAAATAGCAAGAGAAACAAGTGAAGCCTGAAGATGTGACTGAATTGCTACAATCTTATGTTAAACTTGCAAGAATGAGCAAAAAAAAGAAGTTTTTTGAGATGAAATCTACTCCTGGTGAAGATGTTGTGAACATTGTTGAAATGACAAGAATTTAGTATATTACATAAACTTAGTTGATAAAGCAGTGGCAGAGTTTGAGAGGACTGAGTTCAATTATTTTTTCTTTTTCTTTTGAGTTGGAGTCTCCCTCAGGCTGGAGTGCTTGGCATGACCATGGTTCACTGCAGCCTCTCCTCCTGGGCTCAAGTGTTTCTCTGGCCTCAGCCTCCCAAGGAGCTAAGACATGTGCCACCACACCCAACTAATTTTTTTTATTTTTTGTAGAGATGAGGTCTCACTATGTTGTCCAGGTTTGTCTTGAACTCCTGGGTTCAAGTGATTCTCCCACCTCGGCCTCCCAAAGTGCTGAGATTATAGGCCTGAGCTACTCCATGCCGGGCCTTGACTTTAATTTTGAAAGTTCTACTGTGGGTAAAGTGCTAACAAGCAGCATTGCATGCTACAGAGAAATCTTTCATGAAAAGAAGAATTAATCGTTGGGACGAACTTCATTGTTGTTTTAATAAATTACTACAGTTACAGCAGCCTTCAGCAACCATTACCCTTATTAATCAGCAGCCATCAACATCAAGGCAAGACTTTCCACCAGCCAAAAGATTAGGACTTCCTCAAGGCTCAGATTATTGTTAGCAATTTTTAGCCATAAAGTATATTTTATTTTGAGTTGTAGTCTTGCCCAGGCTGGAGTTCGGAGTTCGGTGACCCAATCACAGCTCACCTCCTAGGCTCAGGTGATCCTTTCACCTCAGCCTCCCGAGTAGCTGGGATTACAGGAGCATGCCACCATGCACTAATTATAT